GCTTCATTCATTTCCTTTCAATGGCCCATGTATAAGCAGAACTGTGCTGAGTGTATCAGTTATTTTCCTTACATGGAATGGCGCTTGATAAGCTTTGGCACACCCTGTGGAAGCGGCCAACTTTGTGGATCCCAGGACGCGCGTAGCGCTGAGACCGCGCCAAGCTACAGGGGGGCGTCCAGCTGTCGGGGCGAGTGGAAAGGAAGGCACAGCGGAGTGGAACCGCGCAGCGCACGCCACAAGCACCAGGAGTTCATTTCACTGGGGCAGCACGTGGGGTCCTGACGGGAGGTATGCGGGGTCAGTGCTTCTGCCTAGATACGCGACGCGGGAACCCTGGGGAGACAGGCCTGTGATAACTCGACCCTGGACCACATCCTGCGGCGGATTTGGTAGGTAGCCTCGGTGAAGGGCGGAGTCTTCCAGAGAAGGGAGGAGCGGCAGAAACATGGAGGAAGGCGGAGGGGCGAGGAGGAGGTTTCTTTCCAGGGCTCCTTTTAGCAGGTTGATTGGTTTTCTCTGGGCTACAGCCCCCTCTAGCGTTTCTTATGCGCTGGAAGTTCTGCTTTCTTTCATAGACCAGTAAGGATCTTTTTCTATTCCTAATATTCGTGGAAAATTTTTCACTACTGGACTCACCCTTCTTTACAGTTAATTTCAGTTCCCCTAATAACGTTTTAAGAATGTCTTCGCCGGGCGCAGTGGCGCGTGACTGTAGTCCCAGCTACTCAGGAGGCTGAGGCTGGAGCATCTCTTGAGCTCAGGAGTTCTGGGCTGTAGTGCGCTATGCTGATCTGGTGTCCACACTGTTTGGCATTAATATGGTGACCTCCCGGGAGCGGGGGACCACTAGGTTGCCTAAGGAAGGATGAACCAGCCCAGGTCAGAAACGGAGCAGGTCAAAACTCCCGTGCTTATCAGCAGTGGGATTGCGCCTGTGAATAGCCACTTCACTCCAGCCTGGGCAACATAGCGAAACACCTCTTATTTACTTATTCATTAAAAAAAAAAATCTTAAGAAGCAAGGAGGAAAGATTTTGTGCCCAGTTGGCCACCTTGAAGCCAGAGGCGTCTGTTACGGTCTTTTTCTCTTTTTTCTTGAGATAGGGTCTGGCTTTGTTGACCAGGCTGGAGTGCAGTGGCACAATCTCGGCTCACTGCAACCTCTGCCTTCCAGGTTCAAGCGATTCTCCTGCCTCAGCCTCAGTTACCTGGCCACCACAGCCGGCTAATTTTTGTGTTTTTAGTAGAGACGGAGTTTCATCACGTTGGCCAGCCTAGTCTCGAGCTCCTGGCCTCAAGTGATCCACCCTCCTTGGCCTTCTAAAGTGCTGGGATTACAAGTACGAATCACCACACCTGGCCACTCACGGTCTTTTAGTAGGAATATATTTAAGGGAAATTCTTTACATAGTAGTAACAGGAGAATTGGACTTTTAAAGTCAGATATGTGAGAGTCTCGACTGGTCCTCTGTCCAGTCATGAGATCTTGGACACACTATGTAAATTATTTAAGCATTAATTATGTATAAAATGGATGTAATCATATTACCATAGACACTAGGGTTTTAGGGCTGGCAGATGTAATAAAGGGGAGGCTTTATTAATAACCTTTCTTTATCTCACTAATCATTGCTAATTTCTGCTGTTTCCTAGGTGTCTCAAAACTAAACTCATGCCTCTGGCAGTCATTTATGGAGCAAACAGTATGTGTCTGGCAATGTTCAAGTGCTGAGAAAAATATAAGGCATAAAACACATAGTTACAAAACATAGCTGTTAGACAGAGCACCCACTTTCCAGGAGTTGACAGTTGTAAAGAGGAGACAATAAATGCAATGACCTTGCAGTGTGATGGGGGCTAGCACAGCAATGTATGCAGGTGTTGTGGGTATTACAGGGGAGGAAGCTGGCCTGGAGTGTCAGACTCAGAGGATCTGGGTAGAGCAGGGGTTCACAACCTCAGCATTATAGTGAGTACTTGATGTTTCAGGCCAGACAGCTCTTTGTTGTGGAGGTTGTCCTGTGAATTGTAGGATGTTTAGCAACATTTTTAGCCTCTAACCACTAGATGCCTCTAACACCAACACCTCCCTGATTGTGACAACCCCAAAAATATATCCAGACATTGCCACATGTCCTGAGGGAAGAGGGTTCACTTGAGAACTGATGTGTAGAAGATAGCTGAGACATCATTCAGAGTTGGATTTTCCAGAGGCATCTTTATTTGGCAGAATGGCAGATTAGTCTTTTTCTTTTTCTCTTTCTTTCTCTCTCTTTCTGAGACAAAGTCTCGCTCTAGTCGCCCACGATGGAGTGCAGTGGCGTGATCTCAGCTCACTGAAACTTCTGCATCCTGGGTTTTGCCATGTTGGCCAGGCTGGTCTCGAACTTCTGACCTTAGGTGATCTGCCTGCCTTGGCCTTCCAAAGTGCTGAGATTACAGGCATGAGCCACCGTGCCCAGCCAGTTTTTCTTAAAGACAGGATTTCACTCCATTGCCCAGGCTGGAGTGCAGTGGCAAGATCATCATAGCTCACTGTAACCTGGAGCTCCTGGGCTCAAGTGATCCTCCTGCCTCAGCCTTCAGAGTAGCTGGGACTACTCACGCCACCAGGCCTGGCTAATTTTTTAAACTTTTTGTAGAGACAGTGCCTCAATATGTTGCCCAGATTGTTCTTAAACTCCTGACCTCAAGCAATTCTTTTGCCTCAGCCTCCCAAAGTGCTGGGATTAGAGGTGTGAGCCCACACATGGCCCAGATTAATTTTTTGGCTGGGCATGGTGGCTCATGCCTGTAATGGGAGGATGAGGAGGGTGGACTGCCTGAGCTCAGGAGTTCGCAATCAGCCTGGGCAACACAGTGAAACCCCGTTTATACTAAAATACAAAAAATTAGCCAGGCATTGCAGTGTATGCCTGTAATCCCAGCCACTCGGGAAGCTGAGGCAGAAGAATCAGCTGAACCCAGGAGGCGGAGGTTGCAGTGAGCTGAGATCCTGCCACTGCACTCCAGCCTGGGCGACAGGCTGTCTCAAAAAAAATATTAGTTTTTTATTTATATTAATATAATTGGTTCCTTAATTATTTTAATGTGTTAGAACATACTAATTTTAATTTCAAGGTACAGATACAATTCTTTAAATATATTTGGGCAGTAGTGATACTTGCAGAAAATAGTGAATGAAAGAAAATAAAAACAATAGCATTCCACCACATACAAGTCCTAACAATTTTCTAACCATCATGCTCTTTCCCTCTCCACTGCAAACTCAGCCTCCTTTTGTACTTGTTTGGATTAGGACCTGGAGAGGGCAGAGTTTGGGGCAGGGCGCAGGCAGTGCAGTTCAAGCCAAACCTCCCCTCCAGGGCAGGGCCCCCTACTCCTGCTTAGAAATACCCAGCATTCCAAAGAGAATGTTCCCCTTCTTCTCCCTAGGCTTGATCTCTCCTTGGGTTTCAGGCAAAGGACTTCAAGACTGAGGCAGTCTTAGAAATTTTCCTTAGGCTGCATTGCCCCTTATTTCTGAAGCAAAATTATGTTTGATGCCCAAGAACATAGAAGGCGATAGTGAAGGGAAGAGGTGAGTGCAGCTGATTTTACCAGAGTCAGCGGAGCTAAGAGCCTGAGCTGGGAAGCTCACTGCAATCTCTGCCTAGAAGTCCTCTGTTACAGGGCCTGGGCATCTATATTTTATTTTATTATGTATTTATTTTTGAGACACAGTCTCACTCTGTCACACAGGCTGGAATGCAGCAGCGTGATCTAGGCTCACCACCTCCTGGGTTCAAGTGATTCTCCTGCCTCAGCCTCCCAAGTAGCTGGAATTACAGGTGCCCACTGCCACACCCTGCTAATTTTTTTTTTGGTATTTTTAGTAGAGAAGGGGGTTCCACAATGTTGGCCAGGCTGGTATGGAACTCCTGAACTCAAGTGATCCACCTGCCTCGGCCTCACAAAGTAAAGTGTTGGGATTACAGGCGTGAGCCACTGAGCCCGGCCAAACACATATGGAAATGCTTTGTAGAAGCCAGAGGTGCTGTAAGAAATACAACAACTTTGAGACAGCCATGCTGTGAGACCATCAAAGCTAGCTAGGGAGCAAGGCTACCTGAAGAAGCAATGAGGTGCTAAACATGTGAGTGAAATTTCTTGGGTCTTCCAGACCACCTACCAGACACCAGCTAAATGCAGCTATGTAACTCTGATTTCCTGTGGAACAGAAGAACCATCCAGCCAAAGTCTTTCAGAATTCCTAGTTCACAGAACCGGAGGAAATAATAAATCATTGTTTTAAGCTCCAACATGATGAAGTGATTTTTATACAGCAATCGATAAGCAAACACAGGGCTTTTAAGAGAAATGAAAGAAAACTGCATTCTGGGGATAGTAAATTTTGTATGCTTTTGGTGTAACCTGATTAGCTGGCAATTAGCAAAAAGGTCAGTCTAGGGATTCTGTACTTCAGTAGGTTTTCTAGGGATATCAAAGAAGACATTTTAGTTGTTTATTCTTAAGAAAACTCTGGGAGTTTACCTATGAAATATCCTTGCAAAATGTGTCAGTGTCCCTTGTTAGCACCTTTGACCTTGTTAGTTCAGGTTTGCGCCATTTCCTTTATTAGAATTTTATTAAAGACAACTTTGAGATTGGGAAAAGACCTGAGTCTTTTCTGACTCTCAGTGGGCCTAGAGGATATGAACACTCTCCAGTGCCCCATATTCTCCTCCTTGTTTGAAGATGACAGCAGTGACATTATTCTCTCCAGCTCTTCAGTCAGTAGTCATGGCTACCTAAACATGGAATGTCCTAAGGTGGCTCAGATCATTGATAGGGAACTAGGGCCATGACCTTGGAAATGTGAGCTGCTGAAGGGGGCCAAGTGGTCTATGGAAATTAGGATCTCCCTGCATGGTGGGATTACAAGGCAACCACGAAATACAAACAGAAACAGAAGAAAACGGAACTAAGATTTGAAATACCCACAGAACAGAATCATGGAACGTAAAACAAGTAAACTATATTTGGGAGCTGGGGTGAATCCATCACTGGTGACTGGAACCTTGAGTCGGCATTTTCTCCTCAGGAAGGTGGGCTGGAATGGGGTGGGCTGTGTTTGGCAAGGGCTGTAGTAGTTTAGAATCTGGGTAAATGAGCAGAATCAGAGGTGCAGAATCAGTTTTCTGACTGTGGTACCTCTCACACCAACCCAGGACCTGTCCATGTGTCCTCTTCACTCTATGTTTCCCATAGTCCCTGTCCTCTGGGGTGTCCTCCATTTTCTCCCTCACCTCTCACCTGCCTGGTTCCCCAGCTGGGCCTCAGGCCTGTCTCCCCAGAGTAAATGCCCAGGATCATTGAGGAAGCGTTGGCTGCGCTGGCATGTTAGGCAGGTCTGTACTGTCCAGCGCTGTCCCCTGCAGCCTAGGGTGGACATGGGAAAAAGTGTCCAGGTTCAGAAGTAATGGTCTCTTGCTGCCAGTTCTGCCTCCAGTGTTTTTCAGTAGGTACCCCCGCTCCCCCACCACATCCCCAATTTAAATGGACGTTTGATGGTGTCAGGCCCCTGCATAAGCTCCTTAGATTTCTTGGAACTCTTTTTTTTTTTTTTTTTTTTTTTTTTAAGACGAAGTTTCGCTCTTGTTACCCAGGCTGGAGTGCAATGGCGCAATCTCGGCTCACCGCAACCTCCGCCTCCTGGGTTCAGGCAATTCTCCTGCCTCAGCCTCCTCAGTAGCTGGGATTACAGGCACATGCCACCATGCCCAGCTGATTTTTTTTTTTGTACTTTTAGTAGAGACGGGGTTTCACCATGTTGACCAGGATGGTCTCGATCTCTTGACCTCGTGATCCACCCGCCTCGGCCTCCCAAAGTGCTGGGATTACAGGCGTGAGCCACCGCGCCCGGCTTCTTGGAACTCTTTAAGATAAAGTCCAAACTCCCTAACAAGACTTCAAGAACTGGCCCGTTTCCTTCTCCAGCCTCATGTCTTGCCCTCCTACCTCAAACTCCAGCCTCCTGAACTCTCATTTCCTTGACAGCACCACAAGCTCTTGTCAGGCCTCCATGTGCAAGCCCGGACCCAGAAAAGTCTGAAGTCCTGCCTGCCTCGGCTGATCGCCCCCCATCCTCCGCCTGCGTTCGCCATTATCCCTGACTCGAAGCTTTCCCTGGACATTAGGCTTCTCTTCCCACTCTGCCATCTTAACTGTTATTATGATAATGTGAATACTCCTCACCCCACCCTACCACCTTAACTGTTCTTGCTCTGTGAATATCCCTCTACTCTAACGCCTTTCCCCACCCGCCATTGTAACTGAATTTATGGTAATGTATACTCCTTGCCCCTACCCCCACCACTGTAACCAATCCAGTAACACCCCTGCCTCCTTCCCAAAAAATTTGTCCCAACCTATAAAACCAACTCCTAACCCACCACCCTTTGCTGACGCCCTTTTTGGCCTCAGCCCACCTGCACCCAGGTGGATAAACAGCCATGTTGTGGTAGGTATCTTCATTCAAAGCGCACGTTTTAACAGCTCTCTTGTCTCAGAGTCCTAACACATGCCAAGAATTTCCATCTCTTACTCCCTTTGCTATCATGAATTTTACCACCACTGGCATGAGTAAGTGAGCATTTTACTCCACCAGTTAAAAATAAATATTTGCTTAACCAATGATGGGACTCATGTCCTCTGCAAAGCCAAATAACATCTATTATTGTGCATGGGTGGGGTTGCCTCTTAAAGTAACAGCTATTCTCTACTGCCCACGCTAGGAAAAAAAAAAAAAAAAAGCCAAGCCCAAACCCTAGTTTGTGCAATGGAGTTAGCAACTTAATCTAAACCTGAAAAAAGAAGACTCCTGCGAATTCCACACCCAACATCCATTTAGAGGGAGGAAGGCGCTGTTGGCCTCCAGTCCCCCCGCCCCACCCCACCCCACCCACAATGTTCCGCAATCGTCCACCTCGGCAGGAGCACTCACGTCTCTGGCGCTGGGTGCAGGTGAGGCCGGGCACGAGGAGGGAAGAACAGCCTCGACAGAGAGTCCTCTTCACCGAAGGGTCCCTGGGGGCGGAGGAAGGCAGTGGTCCCGAGCCCGCGCTCCCTCTCGCGTTCCATCCGCCCGCCACCCGCTCCAGGGCTCTCACCGCCGCAAGACGAGCCGCTTCGCGATGGTCCTCTCCGTGTGGCAGTAAAATCTTGCCAGCGCCTGGTTCTCGGGGTCCTGGGCAAGGACACAATGCGCGGCCTGCAGGAGGGGAGCGGTCATTCTGGGGCTTGCGGCGCGGAGCATCATCCCGTGCGGCCCTTGTTGAGACTCACCTGGTACAAGAAGCTGAGCCTCTGGAAGGCCTCGCGGTCCTTCACCGGCCCCGCCATTAGCGCCGCGCTCCTGGGCCGCCCGCAGCCCCGCCCCTCGCACAGCCCCGCCCCTCGCACAGCCCCGCCCGGGCGTCCGCGCGAGGCCTCTTGGGAAGCGTAGTCCCCGCGCCTTAAGGCGCCTCCCCGCGGCCTCACAGATTTATCTGTTCCAAAACCAATCCCCAGCAATCCATGCCCAGGGTCCCTTTATAAGTTTTCAGTGTTTGTGTCTTCCTCAAGCTCATGACCAGTCATATTACCTAGGGACCTAGTGGAGCAGGTGAGGATCTTAAATCGGCTAGACATTTTCAGGACCGAAACCTGGTCTCTTTATGCAGATAGGTTGGGGAGATGGTTACGTGCAATTTACACACAGGTAGAGCTTCTGCCCTACTCTCCTGAAGTCAGAGGCAGATGCCTGTAAGATCTAGAGGGAAGGCACAGAGGTACTACATAAAAAAAAAAAAAAAAAAAAAAGCACTGGTGCCAGTGGGGGTGAAAGTGAGCAGGATCATGAGGGTGCTGGAGGGAGGCAAAAGGACTCTCGGTCCTCGGAAAGCACGGCTTACTCCCACTTTTCCACTTACCAAAGAGACCACTTCCTGTTATGCAGTGCTGGACACACAGTAGGTGATCCGCACTTTCTGAGTGGTTTCTAACTCCTAGGCTTAGGTACAGCACAGAAATCTGTCAACAGCATCCCCTGCCCCTGAAACTTCACCCCACTCTCCACGCTGACATTCACTTCACACCCCTCCCTCTGACCCCTTCTGTCTTCCATTTCTTCTGTCTGGTGTCCTGTGACTCATAGTGACTATCAGTTACTGAGGTCAAAAGCAGATGGATGTGAGCTGGAGGGGTAGATGAACGAACCCTGAGATGGGGAGGCAGCGTTAGTCTGGAGAGGGTAAGACTTCTCTTCCCTCTCAGACCTGGTGCCAGGCAGGAGCAGAAAAGCCGGGCTTCAGCTGGGAGTAAAGACATGGCTGAAACCTCTGAACTAGTTTCACAGGGTTCCTCAGACTCAAATGACAGAGGTGTGTTTAAAATGTAGATGCAGGCCAGGCACAGTGGCTCACACCTATAATCCCAACACTTTGGGAGGCTGAGGCAGGCGGATCACTTGAGTTCAGGAGTTAGAGAGCAGCCTGGGCAACATGGCAAAACCCCATCGCTACTAAAAATACAAAAATTGGCCGGGTGTGGTGGTGCATGCCTATAGTCCCAGCTACTCGGGAGGCTGAGACAGGAGAATGGCTTGAACCCAGGAGGCAGAGGTTGCAGTGAGCCGAGATCATGCCACTGCAGTCCAGCCTGGGCAACAGAGTGAGACTCTGTCTCAAATACAAATAAATACATAAAATAAAATGTAGATGCCAAGGCCCACCCCAGACCTTGACTAATCACTAAGGTGAGACCGAGGAACATGCATGTTAAACACCCAGTGATTCTTACACATCAGTACAAGGCTATCACCAAATTACCACACAACACAGAGATCACTTCAGTGGATCCTTTGTTCCATATTATTTTCACCAACCAAAGTATCTTGCCACAAAGAACCACAATCAAGGCACAAAGGTAAGAGGAGGAGAGTCTGGACAAAGTCCTGTTGAGGTGGTAGGAGGAACTGAAATGCCCTCAATAAACTGCAGATTCTTCTCTCAGTCATTTCTGTGAAGATTACCCAAACAGCAGATAATCCAAATTAGTTTAGTTTGGTTTGGCATGCATCACTTTTACCTTTTATGACAACATATGTACCCTATAAGTTGTTTATTTTGGCCTAACATGAAAATCATTTACATTCTCTGAAAAGGGAAATGGCAAAGGGTGAGGGATGGCAACAAACAAGCAAAAGCCTGGCTTTTGTTAACACCAGTTCCAGGACAGATGCACACAGGCCAAAGAAAGTTGCCTATTTGGCCATTCCCTATACACCACCCTCTTCTACCCTGCCCTTAGGGTGAGGAAGACTCTATTACCTTTCTTCCTTTCTGGCTTGGACACCTTGGCCAGGTAACAAGGCTGACAATTTGGGAGTAGCTACTTCATAACATTCTTCACGGCCAGGGCTTTGGATACAAATACCTTTCTCTTTCCTCTAATACCTGACTCTCCTTTCCAATTTCCCTTGGGAAAACCGTGAAAGGATAGATATGTCTTGCAGGATCTCTTCTACCTTGGCTCTAGAGAGGAGCAAGGTGACTGACTTCTTGGTGTAAAGAGGCAGGCAATCAGCCAACTCTGCTGAAGGCTGAGGCAGGAACCTGGGTTCTCCTCTGCTTTCTTTTTAGCCTCTCCTTTCCACATTCCCACCTCTGGCCAATACTACCCATAATGGCAATCTTACCCTTGGAATGGAAGACCAAAGAAACCTCCCTCCCCTTCATTAATCTCTAGGAACTTGTTCCTTTAACCCACTTCCCTGACCTTCCTTCTAACCTTGTTGATGTCAGACATCTGCCCTCAGAAAAACTCCTCAACGTCGAGACCCATGAGAGCATCTGTCATTCATCTTTCTTTAATTTAGAGGTACACAGACTCCTGTGATCTACCTCAAGAAGCAAGACTATCCTGGGTCAAAGAACCCCCTAAAAGATGTGCAGGGGTTCTGTTTCCTCCTCTGGTTTGAGAAAGTCAGACCCTCACAGATTTTGTTTCTGGAAAAGCCTCTCCTTCCTTCCCAACCCGTCCTTGTGCAACAGAAAACCTGATGGACTTCAGGGCAGATAATCCTCTGGGAACCAGCTCCTTGCCCTGACAGGAGGGAGACACAGCTGTGCTCTCTCATCCAGCCCAGTCCTGCCTCCCCCTCCACACAAAACCATCCTAGAAACTGAGGTGTTTCTCCAAGATGATTCAGGACTGGAACCAGGTGGACACGAACACGTTCCAGCAGGACACAGGAAGGAGGCCCGTAGCACTTGACCCTGCCTCACCCCAGGTATTCCCACATCCCAACCTGTCACTCCCAATCTGTTGGGGGTCTGATGGTAAGTGGTGCAGCATTCTTCCGTCCAGCCCGGATGCCCGGGTAGAAGAGGGGCCAAAGTTTCTCAGTAAAAGTATCAGTGAAGGTGTAGATATGAGAGCGGTCTGTGACATTGTAGAAAGACAGTGTGCCGGCCTCATAGTCTAGGAATATGCCTACCCGCTTGGGTTTCACCTTGATGTGCAAAGGGGTAAAAGGTGTGGTGGTGGCCGCATACTTGTCCCCATTCCATAGCCGCACCCGCCAGTAACCAGTCTCAGGGAGTGGAGTCAACTCGCCCTTTCGGCTCACGGAGTCCCGGCACACACCCACTGCCCAGTGGGTCTTGTCGCCCACCTCCACCTCCCAGTAGTGTCGACCTGAGGTGAAACCCTCAGTAGCCAGGACGCAAGGGTAGAAGGTGAAACGTCTTGGTGTATCAGGAAGATCCCGGAGTCTTGTCTCCACGAACTTGACACTCTTACGATCCTCCGACAGGACTAGGTTAGGATGAGCCGTCTCAGGATCCAGGGTCACATCCGCTGGCGGGAGAAGCCAGAGTGGGGAGCTAGATGAGGATGGGAATAGCTAAACGCCCCTGCCTCACTCTTCCAGCCTGCCTTTACAGAGCCTGGTCCCTTAAAGGTCCCCAGAACAACTTTCTCAATCCATGGTGTCACCTAAGGGAGGGGAGAAAGCAATGGCTCACTTCTCACACTGACCCTAAGCAGATAATCTCTTGACTCTGCAGGGGCTGGTAATCTAGGTTCCTGCCTGGTCCTCTCTTCATCTCCCTCTGACATCATCATTTATTTTACTATGCAGACAAGTACAAGGTACAGCCTGAGGGCCAGAAAAAATGGAAAGTGTTAAGAAGAATGCAGAGCAAGACAGCATATGGCCTAGGGATAGAGTGACCATGTGTCTGTTTTCTGAGAACTGGCCTCGTTTATGACTTTATGACGATTTTTTCCTGCATATTAACATTAATATAATGATACTCCCTTTCACTTTATTTTTTTTTTTGAGATGGAGTCTTGCTCTGTCCCCCAGGCTGGAGTGCAGTGGCATAATCTCAGCTCACTGCAATCTCCACTCCCGGGTTCAGGCAGTTCTCCTGCTTCAGCCTCCAGAGTAGCTGGGATTGCAAGGTGCGTGCCACCACAGCTGGCTAGTTTTTGTATTTTTAGTAGAGACGGGGTTTCATCAAGTTGGCCAGGCTGATCTTGAACTCTTGACCTCAGGTAATCCTCCAGCCTTGGCCTCCCAAAGTGCTACGATTACAGGTGTGAGCCACCCAGTCTTTCAAGGTTATGCAAGTTTACATGATAAATTATATAATCACTCTACCCGATGCCTTTGGCAAATTATTTAACCTTTCTGGGTCTCTATTTAGAAAAGTATCGACCTAAGAGTAGATAACACTTAAGGCTTCTTCTCACTCCAAGTTCTGTGACTCAGGGTGAGAGTAAAAGCCAGGTAAAGGGGTAGGTGTGGGTGGGAGCAAGAAAAGTGAGAGATGGGATAACTCAAACCCACATAAGGTAAGACCTAAAAGCTTTCTTCTCTCTAGTGGTTCCTTCTAGTTTCCTTTTGGCAACAACTCACCAATTAGCTGTTTAAGGATTTTCCTTAGGGCAAAGTACTGTCGGGGGAAATTGCTGAAGTTCTTTTCCAGCTCTATGGATACTGAAGTCACCTCCATGGTCTTCACCTTCTCACATCTAGGAAGGATAGGGAGACAGGGAAGAAAGGGTGGAGTCAGGGGGAAGCTCCAGCCAAGTGACTATTCAGGTGTTAACATCTTTAGGGAGTAAATGAAATTCTCTATCTTCCCTCTTTCTTCCTCCTCCATGAAGAGCTCACCTTTTGCTTTCTTTTACTAATCCAAGGAGAGCCTTATAATCTTGTGGACAGATCCTAATTTTGAGAGTGAGCCTCAGAACTTTCTAAAAATATTCCTATATTTCATGCAAATGGATAATTGTCCTTCATGCTCTCCGAACTCCTTCTTCCTGCCATCTTGTTTGGACACAGTTCCACCCACTGGCACTGCCTTATCATTCTCCTTCTCAAGGAGTCCTGATGTTT